TATATTTATTTGCCTAATAGTTCAGCATAATTAACAAATGTTACAGCTATGGTCAGGATACCGACTGTGAAGTTTTCATGTTAATGCTTTTGTCTTGAAAATACTTAAAAACAGTTACACAGTGAAACTGCAAATAATTTTCTATCTGATAATGCTATTTTGTAGTTTTTTTTTCTTATTGTAAATAATTAATCTTGTCGTAAATAAATTGTTTTGTCTTTTTTTCCTAGTTATTAAATCATGTCTTAAAAGAGCTCATGGGAATAAAACAAGTCAGAGAGAACCTCTTGCAAGTCCACCTGAATGGTAAGTAATAGAGCATCATTCAAATGCTATGTTACATTGTTTTATATTCCACATACAGAGCAACAGTTTTGCTCTTCAACAGTTGTAAAGGGGCCTCTAATATGTGCACTTATTTTTTGTTGCAGTCAACAATTACTTCCTTTTTTTCTCTCTATATAAAAGCAACTAATGTGCTTTTGATGATTTATTTTTTTTTCAGAAATGTTAAAAATCTTGTGAATGAATTGCGTGAAATATTTTATGGAAAGTTACGATCTAGTCTTAATTTATAAAATGCTACAGTTTTGTAAGGCTGGAAGTTGAGAGAAGCTTCTGGGCATATTTCTACTGGCTGTAGATGTGTCCTCTTGGCATAATGGAAAAGAACAAGTTCTTCATTTAAAGAAAACCTTTTGTGTTAGGGCTTTTGCAGACTAATGATAAAGTGGCCTTGAAGGAGATCACCAGACAGTTACATCTGGAAAATGTGGTTGGGGATAAAGTTTTTGTAAGTATCAGCTTTTATTTGTCTCCCTTAAAAGTTGACTAGAAAACTAGCTTTAAATGATTGCATCTTGTTGATACTAAGTTGACTTTGAGTATTTATTACTAAAATTCTTCTTTTTTTATTTATTTTTTTTTCAATTTTCCCACCTATTTCTGCTTTAAAATTGATAGTAACTGATAGTTGTAGTAGCATTAAGCTATGAAGACCCTGGTTTAAAAACACTTGAAGCCTGCCAAAAATACTTTTGTTCTGCAGAAGTGCTGAACCTGGCATTTTGCTGGTTGAGCAGTATTAATGCATCCTGGTATTTTTTCAAAAAACATTAGTTTAAGGTTAGCGTTAAAAAGAATGAAGAAGAGCAAGTCTCTAAATGAAAAAAATATTAAGCATTTCAAAGACTTCTTTCTGTGGGGTAGAAAGTCTCAGAAACATCTCTGTCTTGAAATATTAAAGGAGTAGGCAAGTTAACTAAGCAAAGAGCAGCACCTTTAGTATATTTGAAACCTTGGCTGAATCATGGGGATGCCTATCCAAGTCACTGGCTTCCTAGAGCTCTTATTTTTGCATAGGAATTTCATTAAAATACTTGCTTGTATAGACCTTTTTCCAAAGAAGAAACCTATTTATCTTAGTTCTGAAGATGGTGAAGAGAAAAAATCTTTCAGACTGAATTTCAATAATTTGAGTTTAAAATACCTTGGGCTAGTGGTCTGCTGGCATCTGAGCTATGCTGGTTGTTGCCTGTTATTCAGAGGTGCATAGCTGTGAGCCATATGTAATATGGGTGGATCCAGGTGGGGAGAGCAAGGTTGTTAAGGAGGAGAAAGATGAAATTCCAGAGGTAGGAGGCTTCTTCTCATCAGTTGCATTTAGAAAGCTTCTAAATGGGCAAAACTTTCTCTCTCTTAGAAAAGGGAAACAAGAGAAGTGGGAAATAAGCAGGATGGAATACAAGATGAGTGTTTGACTGTAGTTATTAAGTTTTATTGTCTTTTGGAAATGCTGGTTGTGTTTTGATTTCCTGAGCTCTGAAAATATTCATGCCTTAACCAAATGATTTTAGATATAGGGAATGGAAAACCCCTCCCAGTGCTGAGGTAATTTTTTCCAAAATACAGATGCAGTAGTAAAAGGAAACTGCAAGTATTCCAGCATAGCTGATTGTGTTCTCTTCTTATCAGAGAACTAGAACAATCTTTCATCTTCTGCAGCTCCCCTACTAAAGAGAGCTCTAGACAAGATGGGACTTGGATATCTGAACTTCCCCTACCTTCCTTTTTTTATTATTTTTTCCTCTTAACTGTGCTATTGTGTCATCCTACTTAAAGCTCTTGAAGTATCTTATCTCTTCCACTGCATACGTGCATGGAAACATGCTGATTTGCAGGAGTTTCCTTGCTTCTGTCCATAGAAACTTCTTCTCTGTCAGCTCCTGCAACTCTAGTTCAAGAAGTTTTAAACTGGTTATTTTGTCCCCTACAGTATGGCTTGTGGTCTTCGATTGCAGCTACTTCCCATCTCTTTGTAATATAACTTAGAGTGAGGAAATTGAAGTAGAGTGGTCAGAGCAATTCACTGCTTTCTGACATGAAGATGCGTGAAGCTTCCATCTGTCTCATAATGTAGCAGATTTAACAACCGCACATTTACAGTCTGTTTTTAAGTAAGGAAATGGACTTCAGTACATGCCTGAACTTGATGTAGTCATATAATTCTGAGAATAACCTTGAAAACCTATTGTGAAACTTTTTGTTTGTTTAGGGCAGTTTTGCTGAAAATCTTGTGTTCCTTCTTGAAGCTTTAAGGAAAGGTAAACATGCTACCAGCCTCTCTTTTAAAATAATATATGTTTCTGTTTGTCAGCTGACTGAAAAACTAGCATATCATGCTGCCTTCCTCTATTTTTACATCTAAAGTTTCTCCATCTACTTGAACAAGTGCTATAAGGAAAACTTGCTCAAGAATGTGTCGTGGTTGCAAAAAAAGTGTAGAAGACTTGTAATACTGATCAAATACAGACCTAACCTAAACGATGCCGTGAAGACCTATGCCTGATAGGCTGCTATGAAGGACAGGTTCTTTTATCTAGGTTGCACCCATTGAAAATAGTGTTCTAAAAATTGGCCATGGGAGCCTGTCTTTTGGTATTCAGAAATTGACTGTCAAACTAGTACAAAACCTCAGCAGTTCTTCCTTCTTAGTATTGTAGCAATGCGTATGTGGAAGGAGGTGCTCGCAAAATGCCTAAAAGAAAATATATAAACTAGTTAAAGCCTAAACATGTAGAAGGTGTGGAAGTGAGAGTTTGATGGTGCAGTTACCATGTCAGTGATGATCACTTTTCCATTGCCCTCTCAGGTGATCGGAGCAGCAGCTGCCCGGTCTTGTTTGTGCTGGATGAGTTTGACTTGTTCGTTCATCACAAGAACCAGACGCTGCTCTATAACCTCTTTGACATATCCCAGTCTGCACAGACTCCTGTAACAGTTATTGGACTTACATGCAGACAGGTAAGAAATTGCTCTTGGTGAATGTTTTCAACTGTTTTTAAGAGAATTTTGTCATAATTGGAAGGTTTTCTCTTCTCCGTTTCTGGAACTTTGCTTAATTTACTAGGAGATTGTTCTCAAGTATCTGTTTATCAGACTGTTGAATTAAAAAAATAATAATTCAGTGCGGAGAGCAAGCTTAAATGACCAAAAAACTGCAAAGCCTTCAGCATCACTGCTGAAAGTTTTACACTGATGAGGAGATAAAGAGCCCTTGTCCCATATTACTGCAGAAGAGAAGATCCAGTACTGTGTTAGTTTCTAAGCAGGCACTTCAGCAGAGCATTTTCACTGTAACATTAGCATGTTCAAAAGGGATTTATGATCTATGTTAAACTTGCTGTGGTTTTTGCAATGATGTTGTAAGGAACTGAGGACAGATCATGTGTTTACCATGATAATCCTTTCTAACAGTAGGGGAGTTGATACTTTACAGAAATTACACTTTTTCCAAATAAAGTGAGTGTGAAGATAGCCAGGTTATGGAAGACAAAATTAAAAAAAAATTATCAAAGCTTAAATATAGTTGGTTGCATTTGAGTAAAATTCAACTAGACAAATTACTAGAAAAGTGAACTATTATTCTGTATCTGCAACAATAACTTGCTTAGTTCTGTGTGATGATCTTCAGATAAGTATTGGCTCTTAAGATTTTTCATTTTTTTTAAAAAAAAATCAAATTCTTTCAGGCTGACAAAAGGCATGAGAAATGACAGCTGCCAGCCCCCATATCTACTAGGAACTTGTCTAGAGCCACGATAGGCTGAAGCATCTTGGATGCAGACCGAAGTCACTGAAATATTTACATAATCTATGGAGAAATTTGCTGAGTATCCTAGCAACTAATTACCCAGCATGATGTAGTGCAACACGTGATTAGGCATTTTAAGGCACATCAGCTACAGTAATTAGCAAAGGTCTTTCTTGTCTTGCTAGAACACTTTAAATCTGAGACTGTAGTAATTATTTTTATACTATTTACTTCTGTTTATTGCAATCTTTTGTAAACTAAGAAGTATGTGTCTGTTGGGTATTTATTTTATTTTATTTTATTTTAAAGGATATCCTGGAACTCTTGGAGAAGAGAGTAAAATCAAGGTTCTCTCATCGGCAGATATATTTGATGAATTCCTTTGATTTTAAACAATACATTAAAATATTCAAAGAACAACTGTCTCTTCCTGCCGATTTTCCTGATGAGTCGTTTGCACAAAAGTGGAATAATAATGTTAAGGTATTTAAAGCCCTTAATCTCTCTTCTAGGAAAACTTTTAAAGCTTTACATACTTATCAACTGGTCTTATTTTAAGTTTTTACCTAATGTCAGTATTTCCTTTTACTGTCTGAGATTGGTACTGAATAAATCAGTTGTGACATGGAATTTTTGCTGAACTGAAGCCTGAAGATATAGTTAGGTCACAAAAAAGACCGAAAAGAGTAAGATTACTCTTCAAGGCTTGTGTTGTTCAATAAGCTGAGGTCTTTCTGAAAGTTAGCTAGCATTTTAGGTGAATAAGACCTGTTTTGCTTAGAAGATTCAAACGTTGCTTAACAGTATGTGTTTTTTTT